TGTGTTTTCATCATGTCTGCGTCGGCCCAGTTTTCCTTGGCAAAGTTAAAACGATGCTGAATCTCAGTAGCATCCAACTTCAGCTAACAGACAGTTTAGTACTTTCATACCTCTTAAAGGAAAATATCTTTATGTCTCTAATCTGTTCTTCAGCTTCAACTGTGCATGTGAATGAACTGACTGTGAACTACTAGCAATGTGAGTGTCACACACGTCAGACAACAGACACACACTTTTGTGTCTCTCGATTTCATGCCTTGGTGCAAATGCCGGGTTTGGAACGCGACCTTTATTTCTACCGCCGTGACAGTAATGTCTGTGTCTCCGGTCGGTAAAGGGTGGTTTTGTGTGTGTGTATGTGTTTGTCTGTGTTTGTGTATGTGCATTTCATGCATGTGGGTAAACATTCAGACGTGTTGTCATCTTCCCTCACTGCAGGCACAGTTGTGGTTTGGAGCCTTGTAATATATGACTTTCTTTTTAGTCACATTCTATTTTTGTTGTGCTGCAAATGCAGCGTGACTCGGTGCCTACGGCGGCACAGTATAGTGCAAAGTAACAAGATGCCAGACATCAGGATTTGTGTGGTATGTTTTGTTTAAATGGGTCTGTGTCTGAAAACAGTGAAGGACAGCCGTCACTCAAAACCGGGGGAAAAAAATAAATAATGAAGTACTGGCAGAAATCAAATTAACTATTCACTGTGCCTGCTCCTGTCCCTGAGTGTTTTATGTGTCGTGACAATGAATAAATGCGGATGAATGGTTAAACGATGGCCAGTCGTGGCAGCGACAGACTCTTTAATGGTCTCGATTTGCTTTCTTCTCTTTCTCAGCCTCTCAGCAAGCAGCCAGCTAAAGTTGAAATGGCTCTACAGGGTCAACTTAAGCCTTCTGACAGGCTGACGAAGCAAGCCCTCTCTCTCTCTCTCTCTCTCTCTCTCTCTCTCTGAGGGGCCAGGCCTATTAAATGATCACAGACTGCATCCCCCTGACGCCGCTCTAGCTGAGAGGTTCTGACTTCTTGGTAGGGGGTGGCTGGGAGGTTTGTGTTTGTGTGCATTCATGTATGAAAAATGAATGATACAGCCGGTTTGACTTCATTTTCCAATGCTTTTGAAGCACTCCTCATTTAATAAAGTCCCTTATGTATCATGTTACCTCAGTACACTCAACTGTGAGTCCTCCATGTTAGGATGCTTGTTAAGGAGGATCTGGTAGTGAAGACACATCAATAAGTGTGTGGGCCGAGACCACAAAGTGTTGTGCTTCAGCTGATGTTGTGGCCTATAAGCTGGGATTGTTGTCCTGTATGGAATCACAGGCAGAGTGAAAATTAAAACGGAATATTCAAACATGACGATTGTGATGTCAAGACAGAGAAAATACTAGGGGTTGGCTTTAGCTTTTGTTTAGTTTTTTATTTGTAATCTTCTACTGCTTTAGTTGTGAAGTAGGTCTTTCGCTCTAAGCTTCAACTTTAATTAGTTAATTACAGAAAATTAAAACATTAATGTCCCCTAAGTGATGTAATGGTAACCTTTCAACGACCTTAAGTGTCAGTGAAACTGTTTAGCCTACGTGGCTTTGCAAGATTAGCATGGATAGGAGGGTGTCGCTGAGGCTGCAGCCTTATGTCACACAGAGACACACACACACCAACACACAGAAATACCCTGTTTTCAGTACAGATTCAGTATGCCTAATCCTAACCCTAACTCTAATCGATCCCTAATTCCAATCCTAGCCCCAAACTAAATCTTGAATTTCATTTTACTTTGCTTTGTAACATTTGATCGTCATATTTGACTAAAATGGGACTCAAACAACAATATTTCGTGTCTCTTTTTGTCCTTGTGGCCTTGAGACGTTTGCGTGGGCTTCAGGTCAGTTAGTTAGTCCACGGCTGACAAGCTGACTGACACCAGACGGATTGTCTGGGATGTAGACTGATTAATATTGTTGAGGAGATGGGATGTAGACTGATTAATGTTGTTGAGGAGAACGGCTTCACCCAAGGTTTGAAAGCAACTCTCGACATATTCCACAAAAAACACACAGTAACGACTATAATCCACGACTCGTTGAGGCCAAACTTTAAATTTTCCTTTCATTGAATATTTTTCTTGATACTCCATCTTTTTTGTTTCTTTCCACTCTGACGATGTATAGACAAAAAGATTCTTGTCATATTCAGTATATGTGATGTGATTTATCTAGATTAATCATGATTAATTGTTAGAAGGATCACAATAAAACATACCTCATCATAACTAATCCACTGCTAATCTGTTTCCACCATTTCCATCATTAACATTCGTTCGTAGTGATTCCACTGTTATGTGCCCAACATGTTATACTGTCAGACAGTCTTTGTTGTAGCTCAGCTAAGTTCACACATTAGAAGTATTTTATCTCATAATAATCCACCGGCTGTTACCAGGAAGTCAATCACCAATTGTTTTTCTCTCACTAAGGACACTAAGTAAAGACCAGAGTGACAACGTTTTTCTCTCGGTGGACACTAAGTAAAGACCAGAGTGACAATAAAATCTCTTTGAGTCTATGAAGATTCTGTGTCCTGGTCATGTGAAACTGATTTGTTGTTTCATTAAACTCTGTTTGATTTAAGTGTGGCCCGGAGTCTTACAAATTGTTAAACTGTTATTGGTCAACTATAACACTGCTGTGGTGAGTGAACTTAGAGAAAAGCCAACAGCAAAAGCTCTTGTTTTCCACACTTCGGCATCATTAATTTTCCCTTTTTAATCAAAACCTCTTTTGCCCTTTTTTTTTTTATTTCCCTCCGCTACTGCGTTTTTCTGGCTTTGTTCTTAATTCTCACCCACTCTCTGTCATTGTGGTTGGAAACCGTCACTCGCATATGGCAGACAGACAACTTTGGATTTGCCATCCATAAAAACACTGCATAATGCCATCTCCAGTCTCGAGGCGTGCTGTTGGCATACAGTTTTGCTGTGTTGATTTTGGCAGCAGCACATTTAGATGTAGTTCGAGTCTAAATCTCTTCCTCACTAGAAGGTAATTTCAAGGATGCTTTTTTTTCAATTAAATATCAATCGATTAATTGACTTTGAAAGATGACGATAGTGCATCGTAGTTAATGATTTGTTGATAGAGATGATAGTTAGAGAGAGGAGAGAAATTAAAATTAAAAGTTTAGTTGATTAAGATTAGGTTAATTTTTAACTGTTATTGCCATTTAATTCTGCTAATCATGATGAGTATTCCCAAGTTTATTATAATATATTATATTATATTCATATGAACCACATGTTTGAGCAGTAACAAGAAATAATACTTTGGCTTCAGCATGAAATCCTTCCGAGCGTCGATACTTCATTATTGTCTAGTCTTGTGCACTTCTTCAAAAAATTAACGACAAAAGGTCATTGTCAAGGAAACTCCCACTGCTGTTTCGCAGCGGAATTGCTTCCGCACGTGTTCTTTATGATTGTCATTATCTCTGTAGTGAAAGACAACCATTAACTACAAATTTGGGGGTTCATCTCCAGACGCTGTATCCCTGGGCAACTCCATGTAGTGCACCACATCAAACAATAGGGGGCCACAGTCTGTGTCCTCTTAATGACTGCCCCCAACCCAAATAAACAAGGACACTTGTCAGGACAGGCATGTGGTGAATAAACTGACGCCAAATAACTTCTGTGGATTATCAGCCGTGAAAACATCACAAACATGACAAAGGCAGCAGCCCAACAAGTGATCTTGTCTTTGCTTTACAAACAAAAGGGTTTGTGGTGGTGCTCCACTGTAGCAATTTACATGTTTATGTAAGATTTAACGCCGTTAAATATGTAAAACAGAAGAATGTAACTCCGTTCAGGACTCAGGATGTGTGTATCGATTCACTCGGCCCTCTCTCTATATCTATCTCTCTCTCTCTTCTTTTTTTTTTTTTACAAACAGATTGACAATAGACTCGTCTGTCATAGTTGGACTTGTCAGTGGAAATCCCACAGCATCTCTCATTCAGCCAAATGTCAGAAACGTATCCATAGACACTTGTTTCCATATAAATGCTGTCTCTACATCTCATTTTTTTCCCATCAGCCCTGAGCAGGATGGCGTCATGCAATAGTAGGTTTATATGTGGTGCACTTGTGTAGCGTTGTACTGCAAAAGCTTGTTTTATCAAGGCTGTATTAATGTGTGTGTGTGTGCGTGCACGTGTGTGGACCCACTGTGCATGCTCCTGCTTTAGCGTGTCATTAATCAAGTGGAGTATTATTGTTTTCAGCATCTTGCCCAAGTCTACACATTACCATTTTAATGACATTACTCTCCTATTAATCTGCTTACCACACAGCCACCAGTGCAACTTATAAAACTATCAAAGAAGTACTTTGGAAAAAAGGAGAGAGAGAGAAAAGGAGCCATAAAAAAAAAACAGGGAACAGTAATTAAAAAGCTCTAATGAAAGAAACTCATAAACATGAAATAGAGGAGAAATAATAAGGAAAGTACATGTTTTATTGTCCTGAATTAGACAGGAACTGAACAGATGAACACTGGGACACTGTGACTACAGCTGCTGTTCTGCCTCCACTTGTTTTTCTTTAGGTTTCCTTTGATTTGCATTACTGTCACCAAGAGGTTATACTTTCTCACCTGGTAAACATTTGCAACTTTTAAGTTGCCTTGGAAAACAAAATAAATTGCTACATATCGTACCTTTCCAAAAGAACAAAATGTATTTATTCCTGTTACAGACCTGAGCTCCTGTCTCTGGAGCTGTGACAAAAGCAGGTGGTGGAATATTTGGTGCATTAGATGTTTATATATATATATATATAAGATATGCAGATGTTTGAATCATGAACTTGAATATATAAATATATGTATACTATTTGAATAGCTTGGTAGTGAATGCTAAATAATAAGGTATATTCAAACATAGCATTATTGTTTTTCACT